TTCGTTACGTTTGCCTGTTCAAACAGACAGGCTGAAGTACTTCAAAAGAAATAAAAATATGGATACGCGAGCTTTGTAGTGAAGTTTACTGCTACGGACGCAGTCAACAACAAACAGCAATGCACAATACAATACATACACACCACACTACCCAATTTTAGTAGAGTGTTACAGTACATTGTCATCATCAGTAATTATTTTCTTCTCAAGCTGCATATTTTACAAACAAAACCAAGCAGAAACCGGCCACCTATACTTTGCGTCGGCAGCAAACGTATGCAAATACATTTCTGACTTATCCTCCATAAGAGACTATACCGAGGTGGGATAAAAAGTTAGTATGGTTACCAGCACGGTATGGCGTACTTGGCAGCAGAGATGATGTCACATCCCTCACACAGATGTTAATTCTTGTAGAAGTTTCCTGAAATAATCAATTTAACACGATGCACAATTAACGAGGATACTAACTAGGTCGATGTATGCCAGACCACGTCTCGCGTAACAGGCCTTGCGATATCTCACGAAACACTGTTACGCTGCGACGCGCCTGGCATACATCTACCGAGGCCTGCGGCGCTGACACCCGAGTCGGGCAATAGGCAGAGTCTTAAATGGGCCTTCAGCCCCAAAAGTCACAAATTTTCTCTTCGGGGTTTCATTTTGACGAGTAACCTCCCGAGACCATCAAATATCCGAGAAAAAACATTAAAATGTGTTGGGGTCATTTTCGTGTGAAAAATTCCCTCTTGCGCCTAAACGGTTACCGATAGAGCTAAACGGACAAAATTGTGGCCTTAAGAATCCCACCTGCAGGGCTTTTCTCCGGGGACACCATTAGTAAGCTTTTAGAATGAGCAACTTTTTTCCATATTTTTAAATAGCGCGTTCTCGGCTAATTTTTGAGCTAGAGGGCTCAAAATTTACTTCTTGCTTTTAGTGCCAAAGTTATATTATCAATTTGAGCGTCCTATCTCAAACCGTTCTCGAGTTATCGTGATGACAGAGACAAAACATTTTGATCATCACTAGAGTAATAAGCTTTGCTAATCGCTCAGCCAATAGGGTGTTCCAGGCAATCTAAAACGGAAGTAGGAAAAAAACAAACTCTCTGACCTTCCTGTTTCCGTAATAGCTCTGATTGGTCGATTTTCTGACGTGCCTCCGAGGCCTTTCAGGTATGAGAAACTGTCAGATCACTTTCGAGCTCCCCTCCACATTTGAGAGGTTAGGATTGGACCAAACATTCATGGTACTTTCTCATTCTGGGCGGACGGAAACAGATACATCAGTGAGTTTGTTCTTTTTCACTTCCGTTTCAGATAGCCTGGAACACCCTTTCAGAAAACTGTTTTGTAGCACAGGATATATATTTTTTCTGTGAGTTACAAGGAGCAGATTTCGAAAGTTAACTTCATTTTTTGGTCGCACCTAGCCTGACCATCGGTTTTATCGTGACTGCAAACAACAGTCTTTGCCTCTCCCTGCACAGTACGAGCACAGAGTCTCGGAATGCCTGAGCGTTGGGCATGACAAGGAGTGAGTCCCTGATTTCAGATTAGTTACCCAGCTACTCTATGCGATCCTTGCCCTCTTCAGGTATCAGTGTCAGACTTTACTCTGCAGTAAAATTTTCTAAGAGCTCTGACGCGAGGGGGAAATCACTTGCGTACTAACATGTGTCGTACACCCAGGCCTGTACCGAAGACGTACTAAGTCGTACTAACAGCGTATCACCGCGTACTTACGGTACAAATCAACCGTCGTAATAGGGTATTTCACCTGACACAAACCGGATCGGACCCGACACTAGGGGTCTACCGCCTTTGCGGCCAGTTCATGAATTTCATCTAGCCAATCAGAGCAAGGGAGAAATGAGTTCAGGAAGAACTCTGGCTCTTTTTAGGATCCGGTTTGCGTCAGGTGAAAAACCCTGTTGAGCCGTAATGACACTAGGTAGATGTAAGCCAGACCACGTAACCTGTAACCTGTAACCTGACCTGACCTGTAACAGGCTTCGCGATATCTCACGAAACACTGTTACGCTGCGACGCGTCTGGCTACTTCGATGGCTCACCCCACCCCTTGGTTAACTGATAAAAAGTATTTTTAAAAAACGTTATATTTAAGTCATGTAGTTTATGATTTTTTAAAAAATTCAATTTTTGAGCTCGAATGCTCTTTGAACTCGATCTGTTTTTTTAAGAGACGAAACGACCCTGAAAATCCAGGTCGTTAGGTCAACAGGGTATTTCGGGCAAGCGGAGCGGCGGAAACGGAACTGCTAGTCCACTGCTGGTTGCATCTCTGCCGTTGATTCGCGGGGGAGAGGGGGAGGCGGCAGGGCGCCGCAGTATCTTGCGCAAGCGCAGATCGCAGGCTGAGACGGATCCAGCAACCGCTCGGCCATTCCGTTTCCGCTGCTTCGCTTGCCCGAAATACGCTATTCGTTCTCGAGTTAACGTGACGACAGACGAACAGACACACAGCCAGACGCAAAACTTTTTGATTATCACTGGAGTAATAGGCTTCGCTAATCGCTCAGCCAATAAGACCCTTACGGCCCTTACGCCTTTGAGACCACACAAGCCAACAGCAGATTCTTATTGACACACCTCATTCCTACTGTTCTCCCTGAAGCAGAGCTCCTCCCCCTCCTGACTAAACTCGACCTCAATCTCCATGGGCTCCGGTTGGCGGCGCAGTCCGGGGGGCAGCAGCTCGCCAATAAAGCTTTCCGGTAAAGCTGAAATGCAGAGGAATATGGGGATCAAGGAAACGAAAGTTTTTAAGCAAAGTGATTTCCGTTTCCTTCTTCCCTGCAATCTTCTGCAATAGGGTGTTCCAGGCTATCTAAAGCGGAAGTGAAAAAGAACAAACTCCCTGATTTATCTGTTTCCGTCCGCCCAGTATGAGAAACTTCCACGGTAGTTTGGTCCGATCCTAACCTCTCAAATATGGAGGGGAGCTCAAAACTGATCTGACAGTTTCTCATACCTGAAAAGCCGCGGAGGCTCGTGATTAGTTCGACCAATCATAGCCATTACGGAAACAGAGAGGTCAGTGAGTTTGTTCTTATCTACTTCCGTTTTGGATTGCCTGGAATACCCTATTCAGCTTTACCGGAATGCTTTAATAAAGAATGAATTACTTATGACGACGGAATGAGAAATATCAAGACATTGGATGTGTAATCAAAAATTACCTTAAAACCCCATGAGGCAATCCAGCTCTCACAGCTGTCAACTCTCCCTCCAACCTAAACATAAAGTAAGCTTTCAAGAATAAGAACCACATCAAAATCACAGCATTTATTATTCATTGTTTTAAAACGTACCGTTTGATAAGCAGCGACATTTCTTCGCCAGGAACAAATACAATCCACTGACAATATTTTTTTTAACAATAGAATCAACTTACCAGTCCGGCACAGCAACAACACTAACCTTAACAATCACAAAAGAAACGGCGGGGCATGATAAACGAAAGTATAAACTCTTTGATTGGTCGAGCTGATTACGCGCCTCCGCGGCCTTCCATGTTAAAAAAACTGTTAAACTAGCTGCATGTACGCCAGACCACGTCTCGCGTAACAGGTTTCGCGTTATCTCACGAAACACTGTTACTCTGCGACGCGCCTGGCGCAGATATAGTTAGGCCTTCGGCGCTGACACCCTAAGGAGAGGGTGTAGGGGAACATAGTCTTCCGGGCTCAAAATTTGACATACTCCAACCATTTATCGGGGTCTTCTTACTCTATTATTAGGGACATGAAACTTCTGCTGTTCGGTGACGGTTTTCATTAAAAACTCGAATTTTGTCAGATTGGCATGTAAAAATCAACGTCTTAGTGAAAGTAGATTATCTAGGGAACCTTAAGCCCAAAAGAGGGTGTGGTTCGACCCGTAATGTATGGTTTAGTATTACTCCCTTAAGAATCCTGTGACATAGAGCCTTTTTTTACGATTTAATAGGCCATTTTGTCTTTTTCACGTTGTTTACGCTAAGAAATGCCCCACAGCGTCGAAACGGTACAAGATAAAGCAAAACTAACGGGCCTAGGTAGATATATGCTAGGCGCGTCGTAGCGTAACAGTGTTTCGTGAGGTATAGCGAATGCTGTTACGCGAGACGTGGTCTGGTTCTATCTCTAACTGTTAAGGCGCCAGAGGGAGTTTTTCATACGAAAATGACCCAAAATCATTGAAATGATTGGTCTCAGATATTTGAGGGTCTCTGGTGGGGTTACTTGTCAAAATAACACCCCGAGGAGAAAATTTGTGACTTTTGGGGCCAAAGGCCCATTTACGATCCTGCCTTTTGCCCGACTCGGGTGTCAGCGCCGCAGTCCTACGGAGGTGTATGCTAGGCGCGTTGCAGCGTAACAGTGTTTCGTGAGATATCGCGAAGCCTGTTACGCGAGACGTGGTCTGGCGTACATCTACCTAGTATTTTACTACCTGTGGTTTTTGATTTATTTTTTTAAAGTCAATTTTCGAGCTAGATCGCTCATCTTCGAACTCGATGTGTCTTTTCATGAGACCAAACGACCCTGAATTTCCCATATCGGTCTCTTTGTAGACCATTCCACCGAATGAGGAAGAAGAAAGAAAAGAATCAAAAAGTACCGGAAACAGTTTTGATGAACAGATCAAACCGTTACCTTTTTCTAGTTTTCTTGACCAAGATAATTATTCTGGACTTGTAGGTGTGCCACAGAGGTGTACAAAAATGATCTACAGACTGGTTTTTGTTACTGTTGTCGGTCCTTTTTTATTCTTTTCTTTCTTCCACATTCGGTGGAATGGTCTATTCTTTCTCGAGTTATCGTGCGTACAGACAGACAAACAGAATGAAACTTTCCCGGTCAGTGGAGTAATGGGCTTCGCTAACCCTTCAGCCTGAAGGTTTCGCGCAGTGCCTCCAAACGGGCTTCCTTGTGCGGGCTGCTTCGCTTTTGCCCTAAAGTGAACCAGCCCGCACGAGCCCGCAAGGCTCTTTCACACCTAAAATTTGGTTATTAATTCCAATTAAATTCCATTTTTGCGTCGACAGATCTCAAAAATGGTTTCCATTGGTAAGATCTGTCGAGGCCAAAATGCAGTTAAGTTAGAATGTATGTCCAAATTTTAGGTTTGAAAAAGCCTTGCGGGCTGGTTCACTTAGGTGTAAAAGCGAAGCAGCCCGCGCGAGGAAGCCCGTTTGGAGGCACTGGTTTCGCGTCAGTCTATGTTTCTGTCTGTGCGCACGATATTTCGAGAACAGATTAAGATAGCGACCTGGGATTTTCAGGGTCGTTTTGAATCTTAAAGACACAGATCTAGTTCAACGAAGAGCATTCTAGCTCAAAAATTGGATTTAAAAAGACTTTTCGGGCGTGCGGGTGGGGGTTTCAGCAGTCTGATATCACTGCATTCACCTTCATCAAAGATACTCCATATGGAATCTTCGGACGAGATATACGTATGGTTCATGTCTGCAGGACACCCTGCGACTTTGCTCTGGAAACTGTATGGTGAATGGATAAAAAAGGGAAGGAGAGAGACGCTCGATGTTGAAGCGAATGCAATTTATTTGGTGACTGGTAGGTACTTCACGACGAACAATCCGGCCGCTCCTCCGTTCGGTCTTCTTTAACTGCAGCATGACGGAGGCTGCCCGACCCTCGGGGCAATGGCTCCTCGTTTGTGCCAGAACTCCCGTCGCACCACAGATGTCGCACCTGCAATTGTATTTCAATACACGGCCACTGCACGAACCGGCACACGGTATGATGGACGAATATTATCTAGAGACGTAGCGTTTTCAAGAGCACTTACATGAGCTGCTGAAGGACGGGGCAAGTCGTCAGCCTTGTGCCAACCACGTCCGCGTGGAGGGTGTGGCTAGAGAGCACCTCAAAGGTCTCGCCGTTGTTCCTGCACAGGCGGCACCATTCACCTGCAACAAAACCACGTGTACGCATTATACCATTTTTCGTTGACGACACCACACGCGCACACCGTAACCGGCAGCTCTGTCATCTACTTTATCCGGTACCCCTCTCCCTCCATCAGACGGCAACCAAGGAAGGGAGACGAATCATTCTTCCCGTAACACCCTGACCTCGAACATAACCTATACCGTACGCCAACCGTTTCACTCGACGGCTTGACGGTGCCGCCGACTTGATCATACGCCCTTAACACCTCTACTCCCTTATGTCACTCGAACGTGCTTACCTCGCAAGCGAACGTCGGAACAACTCATCATCTCCTTGATCGAAACTGATCAGAAATGGGTGTAT